AAACAACCTGCAATAATTTACATCAATATACAACCCAACTGCCAGCATGCTTTTACAAACTACAATCCAACACAAATGGCCTCCGGCCTCAAGTAGTAGCCTAACATGGGCAATAACAGAGCGTCTACAGAATTTGTTTACAACAAACAGGGGAGTAGAAAGAATTTATACAGACCCTATTACAGACGACAAGTTCGGAGCTCGTGACTTGCTCGAATGCCTTCAGGAGCAACTACTGTCTGGGGGGCGCAAAACAGAAAGATGTGAGTGGACAGAAATAAAGTTTCACTTTAAAACAACATAGTAACCCCACCATGTAAAAATAATGCTCTAACATGCAGTTTCACAATTCAGAAACCAAAACTCAAACACAAAAATCCCAAGTCCAAAACATCTCCACATCTCAAGCTCATAACTCATTTCCCAAAATATATGCAACTCTCAACAACCCGTAAATACCCACATATAAATATATATATGTATAGCTAGGACTCTAATATATATAGTATATATATATACTCCTCTCCATACTAATGTACCGGGGAGACAATCCATCCGGGGGATTGTTAGCTGGTACGCAGGATTTCCGAACACTAACCCGCGTCCAGGGATGAGTAGTCCAACCGGGGGACGGAACTCCATAGCTCACACGCCGGCACTGCCAACGACACGTGTAGCTCACAAATCTCATAACAAGTCCTACGCGCGCAGACAGTATCATCACCCCACCGGCACTGCCAACGACGTGTGTGATGATACTCAAGCAATATACATACTCTCCCCATACGCCGGCACTGCCAACGACACGTATGGAAAGTGTCTCACACACCGGCACTGCCAACGCCATGTGTGAGACCCGTAATCTCATGGCCTTCCCACCCCACCGGCACTGCCAACGACGTGTGTGATGATACTCAAGCAATATACATACTCTCCCCATACGCCGGCACTGCCAACGACACGTATGGAAAGTGTCTCACACACCGGCACTGCCAACGCCATGTGTGAGACCCGTAATCTCATGGCCTTCCCACCCCACCGGCACTGCCAACGACGTGTGTGATGATACTCAAGCAATATACATACTCTCCCCATACGCCGGCACTGCCAACGACACGTATGGAAAGTGTCTCACACACCGGCACTGCCAACGCCATGTGTGAGACCCGTAATCTCATGGCCTTCCCACCCCACCGGCACTGCCAACGACGTGTGTGATGATACTCAAGCAATATACATACTCTCCCCATACGCCGGCACTGCCAACGACACGTATGGAAAGTGTCTCACACACCGGCACTGCCAACGCCATGTGTGAGACCCGTAATCTCATGGCCTTCCCACCCCACCGGCACTGCCAACGACGTGTGTGATGATACTCAAGCAATATACATACTCTCCCCATACGCCGGCACTGCCAACGACACGTATGGAAAGTGTCTCACACACCGGCACTGCCAACGCCATGTGTGAGACCCGTAATCTCATGGCCTTCCCACCCCACCGGCACTGCCAACGACGTGTGTGATGATACTCAAGCAATATACATACTCTCCCCATACGCCGGCACTGCCAACGACACGTATGGAAAGTGTCTCACACACCGGCACTGCCAACGCCATGTGTGAGACCCGTAATCTCATGGCCTTCCCACCCCACCGGCACTGCCAACGACGTGTGTGATGATACTCAAGCAATATACATACTCTCCCCATACGCCGGCACTGCCAACGACACGTATGGAAAGTGTCTCACACACCGGCACTGCCAACGCCATGTGTGAGACCCGTAATCTCATGGCCTTCCCACCCCACCGGCACTGCCAACGACGTGTGTGATGATACTCAAGCAATATACATACTCTCCCCATACGCCGGCACTGCCAACGACACGTATGGAAAGTGTCTCACACACCGGCACTGCCAACGCCATGTGTGAGACCCGTAATCTCATGGCCTTCCCACCCCACCGGCACTGCCAACGACGTGTGTGATGATACTCAAGCAATATACATACTCTCCCCATACGCCGGCACTGCCAACGACACGTATGGAAAGTGTCTCACACACCGGCACTGCCAACGCCATGTGTGAGACCCGTAATCTCATGGCCTTCCCACCCCACCGGCACTGCCAGGATCTCGTCGGACGGGGTGGTCGGAGGTGGCGGCTGTGTGGTGGTTTCCGATCGGTGAACAGTGACGGGAAGGAGAAAAATCGCAAGAAGAAGAAGAAGAAGACGCGGGAGGAAGAGAGAGAAAGTGAGGGTAAATGTGAAAAATCAGATTTTTACCCCAACTTACTTCGAAATAATTACGGTTCTGCCACCGAACAAGTTTTGATCGCCAAAGCTTCGTTAAATCTCCGATTCAGGCCTACCGCCTGTCTACGGTTTCGTCTCAGTACCACCTACGCAACCACACCACTCACGGTCCCAAAATCTTCCCGGATAAGAAAGTGACCAAAATCACCCTTAACCCAGGAGTAATTTAATATTTTCCCTTAATTAAATTAAATAGGAAAATAAACGGAGTCGGGGTGTTACAATAATGCCATTATGAATAATACCTTTGATTCAATATCAACTTCCTGTAAGGGCGCCAAACATGAGACTACAAATAGTATCAATCATGAATATCAATTTTGATCTAGTATGGACTCTAGATGACGATGCCAAACAACCAATCTTTGTGGGAGAAACAATATCTCCTAAAACAAACTAATTAGACCAATCAAATAGGAGATGAGCAACGTGCAAGTCACAACGGAAAAAGATAAAAATTAAATCAAAATAGAGTCCAAATAGGAAAGTAATCTTAAGAGATAAAATCTAATCCTATTAAAAATAAGATTAAGATAAAAATACTTTGAGTGAAAATAACTCCAATTAGGAATCCTATAATGAATGCATGATTATGTCATGATTTACCTGAAATCAGTTTCTCTATCGGTCAAGCCATGCCTCGGATGTATGGGGTTGAATGAGTTGTGCCAAAACGGCCAATAACAATTCTTCACACACTAATTTTCAATCTATGCTAGAGTCTAATAAATGACAACACTATTTTTATACTAACAATTTCTCCCTGCATTTCCTAGACAAAATATCTATTACAACTCAAAAGAAATTGCATGGGATTAAACAAATGAAATCCTACTCTAAATTAGAAGCTCTGAATCCCTGCACATTATGAAACAACAAAACCAGTGAAGCATGTGGGAGAAGAATTGTAATTCAAAGAAAAATTACAACATCACTCCCCCTTAATTCTACCACACAATCTCTCCCCCTTTTTATCATAATTTCACACAATCATCTCTCTCCCTTTTTGTCAGGAAATTCAAAGGGCAAGGAAAATACACAACAGAGCAAATAGAAAAGCATGCAGAAATCACGAATGTAATGCCCAAGAAATAGCAAGATGTTAGAAGCCAAAATGGGAATGCTCTTGGGAACATACTGTGCGATCTGCAACTGACAGGATTGATAATGGCATTGCAATCCTCATATTCAATTTATCATGCCTCCTCATATTCAATTTATCATGCCTCCTCAGTAATTTTGAGATTTACTCGAAGCATGAGGTGCAGCATGAAGCAAAGCCTAGCTGCACAATAAAACAAGAAGCATAAAACGACACTGTGTTTGAAAAAAAAAATAAAAAAAAAAATTTTAAGGACTTAAACAAAATTTTAAAACTACCACACCAAGAAAAATAATAAACAACTAAAACCCAACGGGAAAATAATAAAGAGAAGTTGTTAAGAATCAAAAGCAACACACTCAAGACAGAAAAGTCAAAACAATCAAGACATAAAACACACTGTAGATGCAGACCCAAAGCTCTCTTGAATATCTAATTATTTTTCTTTCATAAACATGCCAAGCATGTGAGCAAGAAGAGACAGTAGCCGCAAACCCATTGA